CATTAAGCAAAATCAGAGCGGTGGTATTTATATGAAGTTAGTTGCTAGAGGAATGCTAGGATAGTTGCTCATTTGTGTCACATTAGAACAGCAGACTTCCATCAGTCTTTGCTGTGCACCTTTGAAACTTCCCAGCAACACTGTTTGTAAAATGCAGTATCAGCTGAAAGACACACTGGTACTGGACTAATATGTACCGTTTTCTTATGAAAATGGCAGGTTCATAGCCCAAAATATGTACTAGATCAGAAGTAAAGGAAGAGCTATGATGTGGCCACAGATCATCAGTTTCCTCTTCACTTAGGCAAAAAACAGCAGTTGGTACTTACTCTTGGTAAGTGTTTTGTGTAAGCCTTTATAGAAAAGTTCATTTTTCATCCACCTTAGTTCCCTCCTAGCAACATGGTAATAAAGGACATTTGATTTCAGAGCTTTGTCCAGTGTGATGTAGGTACTGGGTAAGACTACTGCTAGAACTTGAGGAAGTCTTTTTTACCTTTTTTCAGTATTCTCACAAGTAGAGGCCAGCAATATGACTGTATGCTATGGATTCAAACTTAATGCTACAATTTAAAATAGTTACTTTTTCTTCAACAGATCATCCAAGTGTCTTCACCATGCCTGAAGCAGATATGAAGAGAATTTTGTGGGTGTTATCCCTTCCTATTATTACACTACTCTATCTGACTATACCAGATTGCAGAAGACCGTTTTGGAGGAACTGGTTCATGTTGACGTTTTTAATTTCAGCAGCATGGATTTCTGCAATAACTTACGTTCTTGTATGGATGATAACAATAGCAGGTAGGTACCTAAAGTGCTGCTGCTATACAGAATCAACCAATTGAGAATCACTGAAAAAAACAAAACAAAACAGTTTTCTCCCTGTGAAGAGTTTTCCTTTCCACAATTAACAGTTTAGCAGCATTTACTTTGCTGTAAAAAAAACAAACAAAACCAACAAAAACTTATGTTTGACTGCTTAGTTTGCCGCCTTCTTCCATCTAATGAAAAACTTTAGAGTCTAGCTGCTTCAGACTGCTTACCATCACATGAATGAGAATTTGTTTACATAGCTACAAAAAACATCATATATTTAAAAAGAGAGTTTCATTAAACTGCTTCACAAAGTGAAACAATTAGACACACAGCAACAAACTTGTCAAGCTGAAGTCTGACAAACATGAAATCCACCAAGACTGGAATTAAAGGTTCAGGGTTCTGTAAAAGATCCAATATTTCTATATCTATATGTTTCTTGAACACTATAGTAAGAGATTTGGCATTAAATTAACAGCCAAAAAAACCTCCCAAATTTTTGTACTATTTTATTTCAACTATAGCATCATGTGTTTATCAAACAGTCTCAGGGTGTGTATACCTCTTACAAATCTGCATCATAAAGTGAAGCAGTAAAAGAATCGCGTTTAAGTGAGAGAAGGGGTATGAACTTGTGTGTAAAAACATTCTCTTAAAAATATCTTAAGGTATTAAAGGTCTCCTCATTTCACTGTTTCTCCAGTCAGCTTAAGAAAAATTCAGTTTTTAAGAAGCAGCAGAAAACAAATCTCTAAACAAGAAAGATATGTTATAAAGCTTGCCATTTCCACATTATAGCTCCCTAATCCTACTCAAGTATTCTGCTAGTTCAGCATCCTAAACTTGTTTTCAACTTAAATTCAATGAATAACTCCTTGTTCAGTGCAGAAACAGACCTACGCATTTGGTAAACGTTTGAGAAATTACTAGTAGATCGCTGGATATAACACCCACCAGGTTCACTCCTTGATCAAATAATTTTCCACTTGTATCTAAAGAGCAAAGGTTTACTGTCTGAATGCTAGAAGCCTTTGAAACAGTATTCAAATGAAAGTTATTGCTGTTCTACTAGACAAAGCGCTAATTCATATGAAAGCAGGTATACTGGAGATTCAAACAGTGTATTAGTGTTAGTCCACTTTGAATAGTCATCACAAGCAGTATTGGGGTCTTTGGCCCGCCACTTCGAGGTCAAATATATTCTATTTACACGTTAAAATGTTAAAAATTACACACACTTTATATTCAAGTCCAGGTTCTTTCATGAAGGGTGACTCAAAGATTCTATTGTTGCATAAACAGCCTATCAGGATGTCACAAAGGTATCACAGCTGGGGCTAAATTTTGATGGTCAAGAACAAACCTAAAGAAAATTTGACTACTTATAGCAAGATATTGCTACTGATACACAAAATTAACTAAAGGCTAGAAAAATAAGACCATTCTTTCTTTATGGTCAGTTGCCAGAAAAAAAACCCCTACACATTAAACAGAAAATAAATCTATCTAATAGAAAGAAAAATTAGATTCACCTGAGTTTAGATTCTATCTTATAACCTTCAGAGGGCTAGAAACCACTGTTGGGTACCTAAGGCTGGTTCATTCATATTTCACCTTGGTTTGCTTGGCACGAACCATTATTTTCCAGCCTGGGTGGTTTGTAAAAGCTGATCTTGTTGGTCCCTCATCCCACAAATCTCTTACATTAGGAGTGATGGAAGAATAAATATCAGTACAAATTCTGCAACAGGATCATGTTAGTCCCTCTGAACCAACACATAGTTTCAAGCATAGATTTACTGGGCTGATCTAGACTAAGCTGGTATGTTCTAGGCAACCATCGCTGACCCAGCTTAGAGTACTGCCTCTTACTTTAACAAAACTGTTCTTATTAGTGCCCAAATATTGCAAGTAAGAATTCAGATTTCAACAAAAAAATATTGAGATACTTTTTAGTGGAAAAAAAAAAGTTTAAGAAAAACTAATTACTTAATAGTTTGAACAGAAGTATCAAATACTTCAGCATATTGATGCTTGTGAATGATACAACTGCTAAAACAGTTCTGAAGATCTGAATCCCTGTATTTTAAGTAAGAAATTAATATGCTTACAGGATATGTGGGGCTAAAAGAAAACTGGGGAAAAATAAGCTGCTGTTTTAGTAACAATTTAAAACTTTTCTTAATTTAAACCAGTATTTACCTAAAGAAACTTACACTTCTAAAGGACTGCTTGCACTTACAAGTCATATAAAAATTTTGCATTTTGATTCTTCCAAATCCAACACAAGAATTTTCTAATGAGAGTGAAATGTTAAAGCCATGTAGTTGAGACAGTATTGTAGTAATGATCTTAATGACCCTCCTCCCCAAGAAAATTCATGTGCTTTTTTCCTTCCCCTTTAAAGAGTGGGTGATTATAAGAGTTATTGCTTCACGAGACTTTTGAGCACTAACAATGAGATGCCCAAAAACACAGAAGACCACTATATTTTGCAGAAATTGAGGAGAAAAAAAAAAAAAGTAAATTGTTAGATATTTAAACTTCTACTGTATCTGAAGGAAAAAATTCATAATTGGTATTGTCTTGACCACTAGAGACATTCCACTCAGGTCTTTGAGAAACTTGTTAAGATGGTTACTGTACTACAATTCCTTTTTTATTTGATTGAAGAACAAGGACAGGATGATATTTCTTTGTCACTTCATATTTAGTCAAGTTAGCTAACAGATTCCTTTTGAAATTACTGTATGATTACTAATCCTTTCTCCAGCAAACGAAGTCCAAAGCCATTTCTTTGGATAAAACTTAAATTAAAAATATACTTGCATTTTCTACCATTATTTATCAACTGCAGGTGAAACACTGGGAATTCCAGAGTCAGTAATGGGTCTCACATTACTAGCAGCAGGAACAAGTGTACCAGATACAGTTGCAAGTGTGCTGGTGGCTCGAAAAGGTAAAGATTTTAGTATTCAGGCTCATTCCCATGGATGTGTTTAAAAGGTACTATGAAAAAAAGAATTCTAGTCAACATTTCCAGAAATTCAAGGAGTAACTTCAAAATTTTTGCTCCAGATTCTAAAGCTTAAGTTTACTAATAATAAATAAATAGCTTACCTGAACAATCTGTGGCTCAGACATTTAAAAACCTCTCAGAGTATCTCAGAGAAGTATTCTAGATTGATTTGTTGTTGATCAAGTGTCACAGTTTTACTGAAAAACACAACTGTAGGTCTTGGTATTTTAAACATGACTGGATTTTATAATAGCCTGTCTAGCTTATTTTAAGTGCAACTGTGCAGATGCTGGTGATTTAGGGAGGGGGTTTTTTTATGCTTATGGTACCCAAAACCATGTTCTGTAGAATCATGACTATCATTCTTTCAATGAAAAGTCTGAAAAGGGTGCTCTGTGAGAAATTGAAGACTGACAGTCTGTTCCTCCAAAACAGTTTGGCAATTTCATACAATACAATTAAGCAGACTTATTTGTATTTCTTCTTTTACAGGAAATGGAGATATGGCTATGTCTAACATTGTAGGATCCAATGTATTTGATATGCTCTGTTTGGGAATACCCTGGTTTATAAAAACTGCCTTCATAAATACATCAGGACCCATAGAAGTGAACAGCAGTGGTTTGACATACACAGCCATTTCTCTTATCTGTTCTGTTGTTTTTATTTTTCTGGCAGTTCACCTGAATGGCTGGAAAATAGATAAAAAATTGGGAGCAATTTGTCTTGTACTGTACTTAGTATTTACTATATTATCAATTTTATATGAACTTGGCATCATAGGGAACAATCCTACAAGGGTCTGTGGTAACTAGTTTTAATCAGTGATTATACTGATGAAAAAAATAAAAGCAGGAGAGAAAGATCAGTTTCTTCATTTAGTCAAAATAAAAAAAAAATCAAAACTCCCATTGGGCTCTAAATCTTATTTACAGAACTAAGTAATATCATTAAAGTAATGTTAAGTAGAACAAAAACATCACAGCCTAATTGGAGCCCTTTCTTTTAGAGTCAAGAATTACAGTATGACTACAACACACATATAAAATGAAAATTCTGAAAAAAAGACATCTAATTTTTACATTACAATGTTGATACACACTGGGGGGAAAAAAATAAAAATCAGAAAACACTAAACAAATCCCACTATGCAGTCTTGAGATTAACAGAGAAAATGGCTTATTTTATTAAAAACAGTATAACCATTCATTTAAACTGAATGACTAGAGACACTTGGCCTAATTTTCCAAAGGCGCTGAGCATCCAAAGCTTCCACGGTCTACAGGGACCTGCAGGTGCTCAGTGCCTCTAAAAAAAAACAACAAAAATCAGGCAAATTGTCTTTAAAAACCAAACATAGTAAGATTCAGTTAACAAGTATCACAGTATATTAAACACTATACTGTTAAAGGCTGGTGGGATTTAAAAGTTCCTTTTTACAGCTTTTGTAAGCATACAATGTTACTAAAAATGACTTACTAGGATAGAGAAGCTAAACAGACATAGGAATGTTCCTGAACACACAGTTTTAAATTATGCATTGCGATCCAAGCGTACATCAATTTCTCTGCCACTGATTTTTATGCCGTTCATTATCCTACAGGCCTTTTCAGCAGATTCTGGTGAGTCAAATCTGACTGTTCCACAGCCCTTTGATTTTCCATTCTCCATTTTTATTTCTGCAAACATTACATGACCTGAATAAATAAGTTAAACAGCAGTTATTTCAAGTCTTCAGTGCACTAACAACTTAAAGAACTCATCAGAAATGATAAAAAAACATTTTTAAATATAATGTAGGGGGACATATGATATTAGCACTTTCAGACTGATTGTATATTCACTCATTCAGGGAAGGTGACACAAGTCAAAACAGCAGTGAATAATCAAAATTAAGATCCACTGTTTCAAATCTGTCTTTCACACTGGCAGTAAGATGAAGTATGCCTGTATTTGACCTCAAGTTTGAAGCAAAGTGCCCTATAAGGCTAAGGGAAAGTTTTGTGTTTCATTTACCAATGCTGCCAGGAGTGTGACTACTGACAGGTGTTAACTGAATTGTAGTTCAATCCAGTCTACCATGTTCATCACAGCAACATATCGAGCAATCACAACAATCAAGCAATTTTGCAAAGAAGCTGCAGAGCAAAATTAGAGCCTTTAAAACAATAAAGTTACCAGGTTAGGAGTGGTAGAAAAGTAGCATCCACTATTCAGTTCCCTGCAGTGTTTTCTTGAGGTGGGACACTCAACTCATGAGGCAGCATTTTTATGTAGATGTCTTGGTACCTCAGAGAACATTCAATGCCTGAAGCTAATGAGTTTTTGCTTATGGTATGTTGTAGCACACCACTCCTGAGCCCCCAAGTGCCACTAGGAACAAGAAACTTTTCCCTAAAATACACAGCTTTTTATTTTTAAAATATAATAGAATAGAATAGAAGACTGGTCTTTCACTGAAAGAAATTGAACATATGGAGACATGGTCTTTATATTTCCTTATGATACTGTTGCTTATATTTGTACTTATAATTCTTAAAAACAATTCAACATAATTACTACATCTGTTAGTTGCCAAGAAGATAATGAAAAAAAAAAAAAAATTCTGAACTATCTGGAAGTTGCCCAGGCAGTTAAGACTTTTTAAAAGAGAATGAGAACCTGTTTCGCTATATCCTCCAGCTACAAAAAAAAATGTGAACATCTGAAAATTTTTCATAGTTGAACTGTGAGTTCTAATTTATATCAAATCTGCAAATAGCTGGATGAAGACTGTCTTAGGTATCAGTGGTATGTTTTAAATTATTTGTCTTTTCTGTCTCTCCAAAACAAGAAAAGCCATCTGTAATTCAGTTAAAGCTTTCCATTCTGAAAGTGCATTTTCAAAACAAAACAATCACATACTTCTACACCCAGGCTTGATTTTCATTCACTTCTGTGAAAAGAAAACTTTTCTGAATTAGCTAAAAAGAATTATTGGATATTTGTAGCAATCCTTTATCTTACATTAAAAGGGCCTTTATTTCTTAACAAAAGGGGAAGCACAACAGCCTGCAAATATGTTAATCAGGATCATCTAATTTGCATAAAAAACAATCTGCCACTTTGGCAAAATTACTACCTCTGATTTGATGCAGCACCATTTCTGGAAGTAATGCATAACCTGGACAGGCCAAGGCCGCTGCATGCATTTGTCTCAAAATAAATGCTACATTATATACTCTGTGTTGGCCAGAGGATACATAATACCTGCTTTAAAAAAAGAAAAAGCTCAAAGAGTAATTTTATTAATGGAATGGGTTAAAGTTTATAGCAGATGAGCACCCAGAGCCCATACTGTACCTTGGTCTCACGTGTTACGTCATGCCTAGAAATTATTTATATAACTCAGGAAAGGTGGAGGAAGTAAGAAAGATTAGGCTAGCCAGACTCTTCTTCAGGATAAGGCAACAACCTTGTCTTCCTGTCCTTATCTAACGAACACCATATAAAACATGAAGTCGTTGGAGCTGAGCAGGGATAAGATTCATTTACATACCACACTGACTGAATTTCTCCTTTAGCTTCTGCCAGGTCAAGTCAAAAGGAAGCTAGAATAAAAAAAGCATTATTAATAACAAAATATTACAAAGAGAAAAAAAGCATGTAATCAAACATGCAAATAAAATAACCTCATGGTTTCTATGTATTCAAATGCTTACATTTCTCACAAATATCTGGTTGCCTTTAGAGCCTAATCTCTCTCTCATGCCACTTCCCATAGGGCCAGGCACAAATCCTCGATCGATATCGATGTTCCTGTCCAGGCCTCCACCCATAGCTGGTCCCATTCGATCAAAACCAGAACTCATCCGATCCATCCCCATTCCCATTCCTCCAGCCATACTGTTCATACCACCCATTCCACCACCTACACAAAGAAAAGGAGGATAAAATAAAAATCTCTTTTTAGTAATAAATGCACAAGTATTTTGTAAAAAAAAAAAAAAGTTCTTTTGTGTCAGGAGAAAAATAACTTTAATAGAACTGCTGTAATACAAAACCTAACTTCATATTTGCACAGTGATTTATCTAGTAGCATGGCTAATATTTTAAGTCGAAGTATTAGAAGATACAAAGTGTCAGTTCTAAAATAAAAGTAAAAAACAAACTGCATCAAGCTATTAATTATACCATCTAATGTAGTGAAATGTTGAACACAAGATTTAAAGGCTGTCCAGCTTAATTAATAAAAATCTGATACCCTGTACCAAAGAGATCAAGGCAAAATAACTGTGACAACGTTAAGATACAGATAATTTGACCATATACACTATTGTTTATTTTGCTTCTTGCAATCACATTCATCTTTACTTAATACAGCCACACTTACTGACACAACCTTCTAGAGAAAGCATATTTTGCAGATAACAGATGTTACTGCAAGTACTGTGAAAAGCATGGACTTTCCTATAATATATTTCATTGCATGTATCAATGTATATTATATAAAGAACTAAGATCAATGGCATTCAAATATCCTATTATAATCTTTCTGGATTCATAATTAAAAATTAATGTAAAGCAAAACTATCAAGATCATTCATGAGGGACCTTCTCTTTAAGCCTTATGCCTCTCAAGATTGCCACTAGCAAGATTTTAGTTTCTCATCTGCACTAGCCTGAGGAACTCAGACATTTGCTGTAATACAAACTCAGTATTGGAGCTTCACACAAAATTAAACTGAGTGGTAATCTGAATTCAAGACTGATTTCTTATTTCAGTGATGAGAGATTACTGAAGCTCAGCTTCATGAAGTTCACACAAATAACTCTGCCTATTTGTCTTTTTTTCTGGAACACAAGTTTACTTGAATCACTTCTCCCTCCAAACCAGAAGTTAAAAGCATTTCAAAACTAAGATTAAGGGAAAGACTGTATTAGCAAGTTTTCCTCTGAACTTTTACCTCAAAAAAACAGCTTTAAAAACTATTAAGACTTGCAGTCACATGCAAGAGAATTCTAATTCTTCCAACACTGGCAAGACACTACAGTACAACAAAATCCTCTGATACAATGACATGTGCACCATATCATTACATTACCTATGCTTTTACATTCTATTGAAACAAGTTAACCTACTCATTCCAGATCTTACTGGGCCCATGCTAGGCGCTCCCATTCCTCCTGCAAAAACACCAATCATTGCACCACCTAAACAGAAAAAAACAATAAAGTGACATACACTGAAACCAGCAGTTAGTGACAACAACAAAGCACACGCTGATGAAGGGCACTGATCTCAGTGTTACCTGGCAATTCTTTTCTACAGAACACTTTAACCTGTGCCTTTGTTATTCAAACTAAATAGGAAACATCTAGTAAGTAACATTAGTTCCTCCTCCTCTGTTATGGGATTTAAGCTACTCTTCATTTCTTTCTAGCTTTTCTCCCCTCTGACAGTCTGGCAGCAGCACAAACATCTTAGAGCTAAATGAGCCATTTCCCACGTTGGGAAGAACAGCCTCTAAACTGAAGGGTTCATCTTATTTGAACTTCATAGTACAGAAATGCCCCAGTTTCTCCCGTTTTCAAGAAACCTATGCAAAAGCTAGAAGCAGCTCTCCCAATGTCTGTCTTTACTGCATACGAAGAGCGAATTGATAGAATTTGATGCGAAAAAGGGAGAAAGAAAGGGAATTGATACTTAATAAAAGCTATTTGGCAGAACCATGGAATCTCCAGAATGGTATCAGAGACTGATTCTAGAGTGGGGTAAAAATAATTCTTTTCATTGAAGTGCTAATATTAAGGAAAGTAATCCCAAGGGAGCTTCTAGAATTGTAGAAACTCAAAAGAACTACATTCCTGTCACTACAGAACAGAGTAGAACTGTCAGCTGCATTTTTCTTGCTTGATTTTCATACCTAAAAGAAACAGCTCAGTTTTTACTTATGGCAAAATAGATCAATACCTGTTGTCTTTAGGCTAGACACCATTGTTTTAATATCTAGAAAAGATCACTGCTGAGACTTCCATTAGATTCGTTTCCTCCACACAGTTCAACAATTGTTCCCTGCCAGTCTCTTGTGGGAAATATTTGTCTCCTCTCAGACAACATGCTGTCATAGCCATACCAAGGCCTCAAAAACTATGGACTAGACTGTTTAAAAAAACTACCAATTTTCAACACCAGCATGATTACTCCCAGTACTTCAGCCAACAGTTTGCATATTAGAAAGATCTTAATACTTATGTGTTAGGCCAGAGAGAGTCTTGCAATGAAACACCAAGTCAAATTTTGAGACTGCTGTCAACATGACTGTTTTTTGCCCTTAAAAAGAATTGTGAAGAAAAAGAATCCCCCCTTTTCCAGAGCTAGAAAACCTTAGTTGTTTGTGAGTGCATCCCAGTTACACCCACTCTCTTTTAGAAAGAAAAAAAAAAAAGTCTCCCCAACAGTCTAAGATGCACTTGAAAAAGAAAAAAAAAAAAAAAAAAAAACAAAACAACCCACAACCTGAAAGCTCAAATAATCCTAATAAGCAAGATTTCAGTTACTTCTGACCTTAGAAACATCCTTTATCTGTACTTTTTCCCCCACTGGCTTTTCACCAACAAAAGATAATATACTTCAAAATTTTGGCAATTTAAATGGCAACTCCAACAATTCTGCTGCAAATCAAACATCCTCATTGTCACTAATTGATGCCATAGCCCAATCAGAGATTGTTTTAAGTTGCCCTCCTTGAAACTGGCAAGGTACTAAAGTCAAATGCACTCACAGCATTTCCTTTTAAGATACCATCAACCTAAACATTGTAACAGGAGTACACTAGGGCCTTCCCTGACTAAACACGATATCTATTAACTATTGTATTTGTAAATCCCTACAATTTCCTTCCATTACTTAAGGATAAGTTGGGAAACTCTTATCTGGGTTCTCAGAACAGTATTTAAACGGTAAGATTGCCGAGAGGTTGTAAGTTGAAGCTTGCTGGATCTACTGAATGACTGACTCCCACACCAGCGGCCATGTTCATGCATTTCAAAACCAACGTGCATTACCAGAAGACTCAGAAGTCTATTGCTTGCATGAACACTTATAACTGAAGTGTCTTTGGATTTTCACTCAGGAACCAGGTGTTTATCCTATGTTGCAAGTAGATAAAGTGAAAGCATATACTTGATTTCTAAGACATTAATTCCAAGACATTAAGACTAACTCAACTGACAAGCTTATTACATTCTTATCACTTCTACACAATTACCAGTGCTCAAAGAAAAGCACACAAGTTACCCTTTGTTATGACTTGCCCACATTAAAAAAAAAAAAAAAAAAAAAATTCAACTTTTAGACTGGATGAAGCTTATGCTCTTAGCAGCTCTTCTCTTTCAGTGGGGAATTAAGGGAGGGGGAAAGGGAGAAAAACGGGGAGGACAGGGAAGAAAACCTGTCTCCTGTAATGCATTCATCCAGGTAACAGGATAGCAACAAAGTGCAAGAAGGCTGTACTGTTAAGCACTTCCAGGCCTCTTAAGATAGAAAATATCTCATTTGAGGGAACCTAACAGTAACAAAATTAACTCTGTCAATAAGACATCATCTATAAACAAAACAAAGCTGGTTCAGTTACAGAAGAGGCCAATAAAACCCATTCTGAGCTGCCTGAGCACAGAAGGCAGGAAGAAAACAGAGGGCACCAAAATTCACTGTTCCTATCCAATGCTACCTGATTTGCAGTAAAAACAATTTTCCAGCATGCATTTGCTAAAGCAGGCTCCTGGAAGTTACAAAGGTGGTACACATGGGCAGCTTGTTCAGGATTACCAGAAGCATATAATTTAATACCCAAAAGACTTAATACCTCACTAAGTTAACAGTATGAAGCTAAATGCTTTCCTCAAATCACTATTTTGTTTATATTTTATAGATGGAAAAAAAACCCCCACACTTCAACGTCCATGCTAAGTGACGGCTATAATAAATACTCAGATTACATCCCTATAGTAATGACTGAGGCAGAGGCGACAGAAGAAGATGACCAAATGAAACCAGGTCTCTTCTTGATTTTTTTTCTAAAACTCTTCCAATACTATGTTGCAATTTGCCACAGGAAATTTAACAGTTACCATACCCATCCTTCCAAAAGAATCTCCAAAACCACGGTTCAATGCCATGTCACTACGACCAAAATCTCTTTCCATGTTTCCTCCCATTCCACCACGGAACATTTCTGTAGAGTACAAAGCAAAAATCCAGAAATATTCTGTTATATACATCGAAGCTGATGTTCATACAACACCTGTTTCACAGCTGCTTATTTACATAGAAGTGGGTTTAACACACAAGTCAGAGGCACCTATTAAATATTTAACTCCCACGTCAGTTCCTATGCCTCCACTTGTGCCACTGACTGTACTTCCTTTGAACTCATCTACATTACCCATAGCTAAAGGAAGGGCTTTTAATAAATAAATATTAGCAAACTAATAAGTGCACAGGAACAGCGTTCACCTACCTCCCATTCGGTTGACTCCAAATCCTCCCATATTAGGCATTCCTTCCATTCCACGAAATCCAGCAAGTCCTGTAAAATAAGGAAGAGTGTTTTCTATACAATATTAAAAAAAATATACTTAATGCAAAAAAACTTGACTGCACGTACCGCCTCCCATTCTATTCATTCCGCCAAATCCTGGACCATCTATTCCCATACCTTTAAACCAAAAAGACAAAAGCCATTTAGAAGACAGGTAACATCCTAATGGATTTTAAAAATGCACACAGTTAACATCTCAAAAGGCTTGCTTTGTTAAGAGTATGTCATTCTTCCAAACACAGAAATGACAATTTTAAACTTAAAGCTCTGTAAAACTTAAAAATGAAGAACACAGATTTACCTGCTGGACCCATGCTCCCCATTCCACCACCCATGCTCAACTGTGTTGCACTGATGGGCTGTCCACCTGGTCCAAGTCCCATACCAATGCCACCAAGACCACCTTGGAAACAAAAATAAATATCACCAGAAGGAAGATTTTCTTCTGTATCATAAAGAGACCACAGGAAGCAAAAGTACTACTAAACTGTTCCAAGACTCTATATCAACATATATTAAGTGCAAGGAGTAGAAAACAGAGTATGCACTCACGAGGTAATTGTGAAGTTTTGCTGTCCGCAACACGGAAATCTTCATGAGGAATTGATTTGTCATCCTGATAAAAAACAAGGATGTTAAGCTATGATCCTTTCAGTGCTTTGGCAGAGACATGTAAGGTAAAAAGAAATGTAAGCAGCTTACCATTTTTACATGCATGGGTCTATCGAACAGGAATTGTCCATTGAACATAGCTGAAGAAATGCAAGTCAAGGAATCTAACTACAGAAGACAACTTAACTATTTCAGAAAAGTCACTGTAAAAACTTATTTTATTTCTGCACCATTTTTAGGAGTCTTATCTTTCCTTACCTCATCTTTAGAACGCCAATTCAAAGGCCAGAAGATACTATACAAGCTGTTTGGTATATAAAAGTTAGTTTCACACATGTCACATTCCCATATATTTTAAGCTTGTTCAACATTATCAGGAACACCTTTTTAGACTCTAGCAGTAAACTCAGTCACTACTAAAAATGTAATCCGCACAGTATTACACTCTAGTCCCTATATACTAGCTACAAGGCAAAAAAGCACCATTTGTAAAACTACACTATCAGAAGCCATTAAAGACTAATCCATATCTGATCAATTATTTTTCAAAACCAAGGATACATATTGCTTGAACAGCTTCAATTGCTTGTTCAAAGGTAACTGTTCCCATTCCTCGACTCTTGCCATCTTTATCTTCTTTGATATCTGCACGCTTTACAGTTCCAGCAATGCTGAATACCTCCTTCAGTTTCTTCCAGCCAACTTTAAAGTCAAGCTTACACACAGAAATATATTAGTGATTTCAGTGCACATTTCTGTTCTGCCATTACATTTGGAAGAGATTTTCTGCATTGTTGTAACTCTTCAGCTTCACAAAATGCTGGATATAGGTAAATAGCCAGGATTTTGTAATACACACACACTGCAGCCAAGTCCAAAAATGTCAACTAAAAGCAACGATTTATTCTACATATACGTATTTTACTTTAGTTAACATACTAAAATTAAGAAATGGATGGGTTCTTGTCGAGAGCAGCTGTACTCCCACAAGTCTCCTTGCAGACATAACAGTTTTTTGTGCGAATAAAGAATTTATGAAGTAAGCACCTCCGACAAATGTAACAGCTTAAGTTAAAGTAACTAGCAAGATAAACGGAAGTGTATATTTAATTAAAAAGAAATGAAATTGTAAATACATAGTGAAAAGATGTATAAAATATTTTTTTCGAATCAACAGATGACTGTGCAAGAATTAAAAGTGCGTGTCAACCTCAAGAGTTTAACGTATCTTTCATGTCCACAATCTGAATACATATCCAGCATTTTTAGATGAATATACTAATTGAAAACTAACATTTCCAATTTCCTCGTTATATTAAAACTGAATTATGCAGGAATATAAGATTGTTTTACAAAGATCAAATATTACAGTTATGAAATACAGTTTTAAACTTACATTAGCAACAAAAATAGTGGACCCAAGCCTGCCTGCCTGCAAGTTACTGATAACCTCAGGAGGAATGTTTGGATTATTGAGAATAGAAGGTGGCAAATTCATTATTCCAGGTGCCACATCAGGTCCGTGTCCTCCTGGAAACTGTCCTCCTACACGCTGCAATGCCCTACGAGCATGTTCACCTTCAGGATCCTGAAACATGGGCAAAAATAAAGCCAACTTAATCATCAACAAGAGGACTGGCAACAAACAAAAAGGTACTATTTGAAATTCTACATAAACCCATCAAAATTATCAACTAATATCCTTGTCCATGTCAGAGGGATCAAGAACTGAATTAGCATGGAGACCTAATTCCCTCACCTCTAGAGGTGGGTCCTTTCAGATGAGGGTTGAGGCATATTGGCAAAGCACTTGTTGAGGAAGCGTGCACTGCCACTTCACATGCTGTACCTAGCCTATGGACAAGTAGAAAAGATTTCAATCTAAAGGACTGTCAGTCTAGCACCTTCTTCCAAGAACTGAATTAATTTAATTAGGTTTTTTTTATTATTTATTAATACCATTATTAAAGTTGTAACAGGACAAAAAGAACTGCGTCAGACACTGATATACTCGTATACTACAACACTACAATAGAAATGTTGACATTAATTTAACTTTCCAGTCAGCGCAAGTTCTCTACTTCCAGCTCCATTTTTGCACATATGTAGTAGTCTGATATTCAGCTCGTTCTGCATCATATTTTGAAGCAGGTAAGCAATGTAAACATAGAATCCTTTAGGCTGGAAAAGGCCTGATGACACTAAGGTGAGAATATGAAGTTAAAGTTGTTTTAAGGAAAAACAGTATTAGATTTTTTTGACTTTAGGATACACTTTTTGTCAGTTCACTTGGCCTAGTATCAAGACCTGCAAGCCAACAGGGACTTTAGCCCATTAAGAAAATGTCATAAAAAAACTAAACTGGAAATTACACAGCTAAGATGCTCAAAACACTGCATTGTCATCTCAGTAGTTATAATATCTTCACTATTTCAAATTAAAAACAGCAGCAATAACCATACCTCTTTAATATTCAGGGGTCTTCCACTAAGATCATATTTGTTCATAGTTTCTAACGCTTTCTTAACAAATTCTTCATCTTTGAATTCAACCACACTTAGAGGGAACAAAACAAATAAAGTTTAAAATGTTAAAATTAACAGAATGTTTGGATAGTAGTGTGTTTCTACACATATAGAAAAAGAAACTTACCCACAACCCTACATCCATGATGATTTGTCATCATATGTAAAGAGAAAAAAGAAAAAAAGTCAGTCAGCACATACGATAGAGCATTTAAGATTCCAGTTAAAGATCCCAGCTCACTGTTAAATGACTATTCAAGTTATTTTCAGCTTCAAAATCCATAATACATGCTCTTTACTGGTAGCCAAGCTGAATTTCTCCTACTTTCTCAACATACGTACCTTTCAAACGCAAGAGAATACATTATCTTTTATTCTCTTTGAGCCAAACCAGAATTGGAAAAATGCCACACAGATCCATGTAAGGACAACTGGGGAGAGGAGGTGGGGGGAAAAGGGTGGAAGGAAAGAAAAAAAAAAAAACCAAAAACATAACCAAAAACCAATCAAGACACTCATCGTGTCATTAAAAACTGCCCACTGACTACAGAATTCAAATCTACCTACATCCAGTATACCGGTTTGAAGAACAAGGAGTCTGCATACCTCTTCAGTATTACTAGCATAATTGAGATTACTTTGTAAGAAAATAACCTAATTGACTGCACCAGAATCCTTCTAATACAGCAAAGAGTTGAGGATTGCTTTAAGCAAAGCTGACAGCGTGCTTTAGTTTTAACAAGCGTTAAAGAAAGTCATTTACAACAATTGATACAACCTCAGTTAAGACTCAAACCTGCATTTCGCATGTTCTCATTGCAGGTTCAGAGCTACTATTGGCCAAACTTTTGACTATTTTTAAGAAGACAAAGGAGCTTTAACAATCTTCACTCTTAGTGCCTCATTGCTGGCACTCTGTTGGCTACCAACCATCTCCATCCATTTAGTTTCTTTTAAGAAAACAAATACATTAATCCAGTGTTTAGAGTACCAACCCTGCAAAGCTGTCAAATCAGGCACTTCAAACAGTATATTCTCAGCTAACATTTTATGCTCATTGGCCCCAAGAAGAGAATGCTACGCTAACAAAATTTAAATAAAAACAGTGGTTTATTGAACGTCCTTTGTACGAAACAGATTTGTACCAAAACAAAGATGTTGGCTAAAAAGAAGAATTAAGTAAATGCCATTTGTTAACATTTACAGAAGTATTTTGTCCTTTACAGCCAGCTAGTTTGAGTTGCATGAAAGTGTCAGACTACTTCTAATACAAAATCCTCAAGGCTATCTTAATGAAAATCAGTGTAAAAATGAAACTTACTTTCCAATAACTGGTACAGGTATTATACAAAAATAAAACTGCTGAGGAACTTTTAAACCTCTAGCAGATCGTTGCCCACGGCACTTACCCTTGATTTTCCTTCAGCATCCTTAAACAGCTCCACGTATGTAACCTCACCAACTACATAAGACATACAAAGGGAAAATACCAAGAGACAATGCATTTAAACACCAGTATCTTTCTTTACTGTGCCCCTGTGCACAACTCTACAGAGAAGCACCTATTATTCACCAACAATCAAAACCAGACCAACGTACCTCCTGTCAATGGCTATATAATTTAGCTAATTTTCAGAAATATACAGCAGCCACATTCTCAAAAGCTAAAAACAAACAACTATATTTAACCTAATTCATACTACAGATCATATTTTGGCCAGTATGATATAGTTGGTGAACAAATTCAGATATACACAGTCCCTTAACCTAACAAATGAAACGTCAACGTTCACTGGAAAGTGTTATATTTATCATCCTACTCACAACACCTGTTTTAAGGTGACTTTCTACCTGAATGTCTTCAATCATAAGTTTGCCTTCAATAACCAAATTTACACATCAAATATTTCACAGCAAGCCACTCACTTTCTAAAGTAGGAAGTTTCAGTAAATAAACCAATCAAATAGTCACGTCACCTTACAACAGATAAACCAGCAGTTACAGAAGGGGGTTTTGGCATTTTTCGCAGCCTAAAAGCCAAGTGTGCTTTGCATTACTTTTGAAGAATCAATTTTTTCAAGGAAAACACAGAACTAACTTTTTACAGAATTCATATATTAGCATTATTTTACCCCAAACTTAAAATAAAATGTTTGGGGTAGTAAGATTACTCTATCAGAACTGCAACAATAGTAACAAGCTTTTAATACAAATCTCCAGACAAACAGTCATGGCAGTAGTGACAATGCAGACAAAGTTATTCCACAGCCAGATTCCACCAAAGAAATACAAAACAACTTTTGAAAGACGTCCTTTATTATTCATGTTAACACACTAAATGTGTTGCTTAAATACAATAGCCCTTGAAAAAAAAAAAACTACAAAGACTACAACTAGACGAAACACAATCTCTTTAAAAAGTCATGAGGTCATGCATATACTCTCTACTGTCACACTAGAATGGCAGAAGATTGTAAGCACTTCATTCACTTCATTTACCCATCCTACCCTGCAATGCAATTGTCTCAGATGAAAGAGGGGGAAGGGAGATAGATGTACCAAGTAAAGGCCAAAAAAAAAAAAAAAAAAGTTGTCAAATTTGTGTGGCTCAAAGGACATGTACATTGCATTTAAGTTCTACCCCTTTCTATGCGAAGTGTATTATAAGGAATAAGTTACCTTTCTCTCTCATAAGATCTTTAATAGCTTGCCATTTCATGTCATATGGGATGTTGCTAATAAAAACTCTGTTACGATTAATAGTCTTCTTCTCTGCAGTGCCTGCATTCTTGTCCTTTGAATAGGGGTGGAATCTATTCTTGTTTCCAAGAGAAGGGATTGCCTTTGGTTTTGCAACATACTTCTCTTTCACAGGTGCTTTCTCTTCTTTTACTGTCTCATCATTATCCCTACATTAAAAAAGAAAACACGAAACAAAAAAATATTAGGCTTCTGTTGGATCATTAGACTATTATACCTCCTATATACATAGTTGTATTCCTCCTATGCTATTAGAACTCCCAGGATGTCAAATGTTGCTTTTCAAATTAGGAAAAGTAAATTCATGTTACCAGTCTAATTTCAAAATACGTTGCTTTATCTAGAACAAAAAAATCATGTTGTAACAGTTTTATTCACTACTGTAAGTAACGAGAGCACATCTCGCTACTTCAGTTACATTCCATTTCCATTATGTCTGTCAAGATTCAGCAAGATGGTACTATTAAACTACTACAAATATCAAAATACGACATCTCAGCTGAAAAATAAACTACAGCATCCATGCTTTGGTGCTTCAACAATTTTCACATCAGACTTGGCTAAGTTACACGATATTCGCCACAGAAGTGAGAGCTGAAATGGTCTAACTTATGGAACAGCTTGGTATGCTTCATTCAATGTAATAATAATATATAAAACCCAACTCTGATAGGTTGTAAATAAAATTACATTTTATTTACCACATAAATAATTTTTATTTATAATTTGTGTCAGACTGCTTTTAGACAGAAATTAAAATTCAATTAAGAACAACAAATGCTCTTTCACTTTCATTGCTTAACACTACTAGAATTTTAAAACTTCCTAAATGCATAGGAAATAGGTGTATTAAGACATGCTCTGCATCTAAGACTAATTAAGTCACCAGGTATTATCCACTAGAAACGACAACAAAATAGACTTCTGGCCCTCGGTCTTTCAAAAATTTAGCAACAGCAGCTGCTCTCCTTTTAAAATCTTTTTATTTTTAGATGATAATGCAGGAAAATTTGCTTACTCTCTTTTAAAGCTGCCCAAATCTCAACTTTGATAAAACTATACGCTTTGAACAGAATTAGAAGAAATATCCAGAACTCTTTAGCGCTCCAGATAGTTACTATCACAAGGTGATTTTGTATGCTATCAGAGGATCAAGGTGCCTGAATTGTTACTTTAAAAAAGGTGAACCACTGAACTGAAAGAATCCAGTGATAAAGCCACTAAATAGATGCTACTTAGAGATAGATATACAGCCATGTCTAGCTCAAATCTCACTGCAGTTAATGAGAAACTTAAAAAGTACTTTTACACCAATGTTTATTTTAAAAAGCCTGCATTAGCTACTCGAGTTAGAACAATTACAAGGAAATGTCCTACAGGACTGTCAAAAGTGATTGGGAAACCCTCCTTCTTAAACTACATCACTATCTTTACAATTTTTCCTGCATTTCAGAAGGCTTTTCATTTTGCCGCTTTGGAAGGTTTCTGGTGTAAAATTAGCCAAAACAGGCATTTCGGTTTTACAACCACAACATATGGCAAGATCACCGATTTTGATTAATTGAAATGAGTATTTTCAGCTCCCTGCACAGTGATTAACAAAACAGTGAGTAAGTGGCAGTCTAGCACATGCAAGTAGCCTTTCACGAAGCTAAACATATTATCTACTCAAGCTTGGGCGTTTTCAGGGAGGAATAAATTCAAATACATCTATATTTCTCCCATTACTTTTTCCCAAAATTTTAAGTACTCATATGATATGACCTTCACAGTCCTTGTGTTTACAAGTGGATTAAAGGAGGATTAGCAACTGAGAAATGCGTGGACACTCCTCTGGGCTAAGTATTTGTAAAATTTAAAACATTCAAAGTCAACAACATGTTATCTGGTTCAAGCATCCTCCAGCTTCCCTCTGCATCACCCTTCCTCCACACCATCCTGTCTGTCGTGGCAATGTAATTCTTGTGTGGCTGTGTAATGAACTGAAATGGGGGGGAACGATGCAGGGAACTGGAAGGAGCCAGAGGGAGAGGGGAGAGAAAGAGTATCAGGTTTTCCAGTCAGCTCAGTTCCAATTCAGTCCCATTTACAAATGCAAAACTCCCGCCCAATGAGACCCCTAGTAAAATCTGAGTTCTTCCTTAAGTTTTAGGATTAGAGCAATGGATTCTCTTTAGCCTTTTAAGCTCTTTCCTGCTTAAAGGATTATGAAACAGTCCCTGGGTGCTCAGGAAGAGCCAGGTCTCCAAATACAGAATCCACAGGCTCTACAAAACCTGGCTGTACAAACCAGCAGAGAGCACAGAGGATATGAGTCTGGCATAAACTCTGAAATCTGGGAAACAAGAAGACACTTCACTTAGTCTGGAGATCACAGCCAGTCTCCTGAAAATAGAGGATTAATTAAAAAGCAATCCTTCTTGCAATACTCATCTGCCAAAACCAACGAGCCAGCGAACAAACTGGAGGCAGAGAACCTTCTATGAATGTAGCTCTTACCCTCCTCCTTGAGTATTAAAAATAATTTCAATCAAATAATACATTCACAGCAATGTCATGTTAGTCACCTATAGACCACAGAAAAGACAGTCTCAGAAACTATGAACTGGCATTTTCTTGGCAGAAAACCAATAATAATTTCTACTCTTTACCTTTGTATGAACTAATAATTTTATACATTTAATTAATGTTTGCCTGTGAAATCACTAGCAGATTGCTAGGATTGAAAAAGAGGCGTCTACATTAGTTTCTTAAAAAAAAAAAGCACATCCTCATTCATTTTAAAAAGAGCAATTTTTACCTTTTGAAAAATAATGCCTTTGAACTTCCATAAAGTTTTGGAAACAAAAGACAAGGTTTCCGTATACAAATACAAAACTAGAAGCCTAAAAAATAATAAGCACAAGATAAATTAACATGAAAGCCTTAAAAGCTGATTTTTTTTTTAAACAACCTACTTCTCTGCTCACAAGTGTCCATACAAATAATAAGATCAGCAGAGACAGAAATGCAAGAAGTCCACAACAGGTGATTCTAAAGCACATAGATCACTTTAGCTTTGCTGCACTGAACAGTTCCACTGCTCAATACAATCAACTTAGGGAAGCGTGCAAGTTGAGACCAGGATTCCTCTCCAATTTAATCTGAGTGCTAAGCAAACCTGGTTACTGAAATTTTTTTTTTAAGTAGTACATTTTACCTGCACACTGACAGCTTAATCGCTTGTACACATGTTTTGGGGAAGACTAGAAACTGTATGCAAAAGAAAAAGATTTGAAACTCCATTACCAAGAACTTGGCATTATTTTCAAAGTTGTGATTTCTACCACAGAGAATGACTGGGATTTTTCATTTGCTTGTGATTAGTTTTGGAGGGAAAAGAAGAAAACTGCTGACAGAAGGATGGATACAGAGAAATCAAGTCATTACTTTAACAGTAGCAACCCCAAAAGGCAGTAAAATATTATATGCCTCAAGATGAAAAAGGGTCACAAAGTTCCTGCGAAAATTCCATCATACTTCGTGCAGTTTGAAAGCTGAGGGCCAGGCTCAGGGGAAAAGAAAAAAAAAAAAAAAAAAAAAAAAAAGACTGCTGTTTTATGGTAATGTGAAATTTATAACTTGTAAACTATTTGAATTTCACAGGGAGTCAAGTAAAGGCATGAAGTATGCCTTTATTCCTCCAGCTTTACACTGAACTTGATCCCATGTGCATGTTTTAAACACAACAGTATCAGACCTGGGCTGTTTAGAACATGTCAAAGCTCCACAGATCTCAACACCTTTGATGTATTTCAACAGTAGTTCTACTATAAACATATTTCCCTCCAAGATATGAATGAGATTAGAAATAGATATTGAAATTCCAATAATATGAGGCCAAAATCTAGTTCATGTAAAGAACAATGACCCTCGAAGCCTGACATCAAGAACAACCACACCTATAAAAGGTTACTCACAGTATTGTTCTAGAGAGCTGGTACTTCTGGCTCCCTTACGCTATGTTCCTTTTAGACCTGCTATATAAGGCCCAGTTTACATACTCCATATATGATGTTACTATTTACAAGAAAAGTTTGTGCATGTATATGGGGGTTTTTGTTTGTTTGTTTTTAAAAAGTAAATCACTATAGCGCTGTCTTACCATTCTCACGTAAACAAAGATTAGTTCAAAGGCTTTACAAAACGTTTCGCTACGGGAAGAAGTGGAAACGTAAACAAAACCAGAAACGACCCAGAACACTTCTAGAAACGGGTCCTGTGAGAACTGGCCTGACCAGAGCCCGTGACAGCAGCCCGGAGGCTCACACCAGCGACGGTGCCAG